GGGGGGGGGGGGGGGCACGGGGGGCTCCGAGTGCAGCACGGAATGCCGAATCGTAACGCGGTTGCTTCGATTCCCGTAGGACTCGGGTCGGATGAAACGGACAAGCGCTTCTCCCGAAGGATCGCCGCGTAGAAAAGGTCTCCAGAGAATATCAGTTATCAACGTCTTAAGAACGGAGAGTCTGATTAAAGTGGGCAGCACAGCCATTACCTTGCATAAGGAATCCTGTCGCAGCGTGAGGCAACGTTGCCCACATACGGTTACCGTTATTCTTTCTATTTTATAGGCCTCTACGAAAGACGCTCGAAAGAAGGAAGCGCCGAGTGCAAGCACGAGGCGACGAAGAGAGGCACCAGAGAGAGAGAGAGAGAGAGAGAGAGAGAGAGAGAGAGAGAGAGAAGGAAGGAATGGGGGGAATGGAGAAGAGTCCGGTCAGCGAGTGAACAGCGAGTAACGGCATAGGATAGCCACTCCTCGAGAGGCATCTCCCGTTAATGGATTCGAGAATATAATCGCGGCGCTCAAGAAAAAGTGTCGTTAGCCCATCAGGCTGGAAAGCAGCAGCAGCGCAGGCATTGAGAAGATAATAGTGTCAAAGAGAGGAAGCGAACGATGAGGACCAAGAGAGAGAGAGAGAGAGTTTTCTAAGGAGGCTCTCCGCTTCCTCGTGTCCTAGCATTCATGTAGCAAAAATGAGACTCACCTTGTAGATGCCGTCGACGAGCCTGGTGAGTTCTTCGGTTTCCATGTTCCTGCTTTATAAAGGCTCGAATTCCAGATTTAGGGTATGTTCATATTTCCAAGGGAGTGCCCCGCTGCCCCGCTGCCCAGGCGACGTGTCACACCGAGCGATGCCCACGTAGACGCTCCACTTTCCTCGACTCAGAGACTGCAGAGCATCCTACCTCGGGCAAAGAGGGACGGCCGACCACTTGCAACTCCCAGCTGCCTCCTCGGCGTCCCGACGCCCAGCCGCCTTCCTGAAAGCATTATAGACACATAGCACACAGTTCTAGCCTGAAACGTGGGTACATTCGTGTCGGCCTAAAATCTCCTAAACGCCAAATGCCCTTTGGCCAGAATTGCAAGGAGCTGGAACAGCCGGAAGGCTGAAGACCTCCCGCCGCGCCGAGGCTGCACGGGCATCCGCGTGGCCAGCCTGACGCCTGACAGGCACGCAACCTCTTGACGTCACGGGATAACTTCTCGCAACAGGCGGCGCGTCAGTCGTTTCGCGATTCTCGCTCGCCTGTATAACGTATATCGCTGAGGTGCGCGCCAATACGCGAGAGGTCACGTTTTCCAGGCTACTTTCATTCCGCAAGGACAGTCGCGTCCTGCGCGCCGCCGCGCATTATTAGCAACGTGCACAACTCTTGACGCGGCTGCCAGTTTCCAGTTGCCAACTACGTTTTATGACAGACACAGACCCGGTTGGATACAAGTAGACCCTGATCGATGGCTAGTACTCGACTGTTTGCGGCCGCCACTTAAAACCACAATTCCTTAGGTAACCTGCGCATGAACTCCTCTGGCAGCTGTGCCCCTGTGCCCCTGTGCCCCTGTGCCCCTGTGCCTGCACTGTCCATGCGTCTCTGCCGTGGCGCGTGCTTTCTATACGTCACCCAGTGCAAAGAGGTACGTTTCAGAGTCAGTCAGAGGAGGAACGCGCCTAAAGAGAACTCTATTCGCAAGCGGGCAGTGTCCTTGCAGTACGTACGCTGCGACGAAGAAGTAGAGAAGATTAAGGGGAGAGGATATTCGCTACACGATTCCGCCATTAGGCTGAGAGTGCACACGCAGTGGCATCGGCTGCGGCCAAAAGACACGTGACCGAGTCTCTACCCTGCTGGAATTTCGATTTTCAAATGCAAACGGCGAAGCAATGAAAGCCAGAGGCAAACCGGGCAGCGGCCGAAGGTCATCTTTGGATCGAAACAGGAAATTCAGGAGCGCGACTCCCGATGTCATTGACTGTCATCGTCAAATTCAAAATAAAGCCTTTTGTATCCCGGCGGCAACCTCCGCCATTTTCTTCTCTGCTCCCAACGCAGCTACAATCCTCAGGGCGCGAGACACACGTGCCCATCGATGTGCAACATCTACGTCGTTGCAGTGCAGTCGCGCACCAATGTTCGAGCGTAAGTTAGTTTCTAGTTTCTATGCGAACGAACAAATTCCACGAGACACCCGCACATTCCTGCATGGAAATGAAAATGTTCAGCGGATGAGGATCGAGTATCTGCAATTTTGAATAATTGCGAGTGATAGCGACACTGGAGGATAAGGGGAAAGAGTGTGTGTGAGAGAGAGAGAGAGAGGGAGCGGCGGGCAGGCACAGCCGAGGAAGAGAGTAAAATCACAGAGTGCGCCGAGCAGCAGGGTATCAGCGTCAAGTTGGTGTTTTCACGGCACGTGGGGCGATGGGGGGGTGTGGCGGGGGGAGGCCAGGAGGAAGGAACGCAGAGTGCGAAAGGGAGAGAGTAGTGCTACTCCGAGCAGGCAGCTTAACGAGGGAAACCGAAATCTCCACTTAAACGGTCTTCAACTAGGTAGCGGCCGGGACTCGATTACCCAGGAGGACCTTCTCAGTCTATCGAAATGCAGGATATCCCGTAATCCGTGGTCCATGAAAATTCAGACTGCCTTCAGAATGCCTTCAAGCGGTTAATTCGAGCGCAAGTCACTTTGGAATTCCTTGATCAGCTATCATTTCAGGTGGTTTCGTCTGTACTTTTCTATAGCGCGCAGCGGGTAGAGGGGGGTAGCTGGTGGTTCCTTCAGAAATTGAACCAATCCCGAAGCCGGAATATACGACGCTCTGTGCATACAGCCACCCATCCCCTTCTACATGGAAGCGCCAAGAGATGTAACCGAGCGAAATCGGGCTGAATAGTTTCCGCACGAGCCTCGGTTCTGCCTTTCTCCCTCCCCCCTCCCCCCCTCATCGCCCCACTCCTTCCCCCTCTCCAACGACAGACGCGAGAATCGCTCTCACACTCTCTCGCTGGAGTCGCTGCTACCTCCGGCAAGGAGAGCCGCGTCCAGGCTGCAGGAATTTCGATCGTGACACGCCTTTGACGATTATCGCGCAAATAGATAGAGCCCCTAGATGTGGTGGATGTGGAAGAAGGGGGGACACTGGCGAGGGGGAGAGAGGGGGAGAAAGGGAGAGAATGGAATGCCGCATTCAAATTCACTCGGCGCGACCTGCTAGGAATGCGGTTGCCTCCTGATCCGAAGTCCTACTGGCAGCTGGGCTACTGCCCCCCCCCCCCCCC